ATGGAAAAGCCTTAAGTTAAAGAAAGAAAGGAAGTTAAAGAACTGCAGAAGTGTGTATGTGTATATTTATGTAGGTGTATATGCGTATATTTAAATCTCCTGATTTTGAAAGATTGAGGCTAGAAGCATTGTGTCACTGTGCTCCTCCAACGTTAGGGTTCAGTTCTAGTTAATCACAAACTTTCAGAATCGATCCGTTAGTGTTGTAGCACTTGAGTAATTTTAGTTTTGTAAGTAAGGAATCAATTATATGGAAAAACATGGCTGTAGCACTCAGAGGAGAGACCATTTAACACTACATCTTGCTGTATTTATTTTATGATTCTTTGGATAGATATGCTAAAATATGTCTAAACCACAGAGAGTGCATTGGGTGATGTGGCATTTCTGAGCTCAGTTAAATAATAAGATGTGTTTTATTCAAATCAGAATAACATTAAGCCCTGAATACTAAACAGGGCAGCAAAAAGCCTTCAGCACACAAAATAAACAAGTAAAAAACCCAAATGAAACTGTCTAATAAATACAATGTGGAGCAACAGGCTGCATGTACTAGAGGAATTAAGCCAATTTAAACCGTATGGGCAGTACTCTACTTTCAGATGTGCTCGGCATCCAACAGTTTCAATGGCAGTTGGATGCACGCATCAAAGGGCAAAGTCTGGCTCAGAGCACCCGCATGGATTTGATAGCATAGGTTTATGACCTTGTAATCCTAGAGCATCTAATACGGTAAGAACTCTACCCAGCTTAAAATAGCTGTTGTAGTTGCTGTTGATACAAGCTTGTGGGCTCCCCAGCTCAAATTTGGGCCAAATTTGATGCTGGCATGATAGGAGGAAGTCTGTTGACAGCTGATAGAAGTGGAGTTGCACTTGATTACATCATAACAAATTTGGCACAGGGAGCTGCATCAGAAGTCTGAGCAGAAGTGTCCATTCCTTATCCAGAGTTAAAACTGGGACTTTCACATTGCCAGTCCACAGAGATTTGTCTGGGCCATGTGTAACTCTGTTGCTTTTAAGGGTCTTGCTTTAAAAGCACATTCAACCCCCAGTTCCACTCAGCATGGTGACTATAAAAAAAGCATGAAGGACTGGATTTTCCTCTGATGTCCAAAAGGATGAAGTCCCTAATCATGCCAATATAAGCATGACGAGAACAAGCCCCATGGTGGCCAACGCACTGGGCTGTATTTGGGCCGCAGCGGAGGGTGAGAACAGGAAGGTGCTCTTAACTCTAATTGCTGGGGTCGTCCAGTGGCCAAGCGTGCCTGATGTCAAGCAGAAACTGTGAATACTATCCCTCAGAGGAGCTGCCACAGGTCCCAGTGCACTGGTCTGGCTCCTGGCAGCTAGTGTGCTGTAGATGAACTGTTGCAGCTATGTCCCCTCTTCCCTTCCTGGGTCTTTACACTGTAAGACTCAGAGTGGAGGTCTTACTGATGCTCCAAGTCATTCCTCGAAGTATTTAAAGAAATTTTAATTTCAGCTGCTGCAAAAATTGTCCCAAACCTGTGTGCTTTGTTTTTATTAAAATACTAAATTGCTGAAATGATTTTAATGAAAATTAATTAAAACAAATTAATGAAAAGCAGCTGAAAAATGGATTCCTCTGCTGAAACTGTGGTATGCAAACTCTTAACCTCAATCACATTTTTGTGGTTGCTCTATAAACACCTAAGTGTGTAATAGTGGTTTGTCATGGCACTTTTTTGATGGAAATTCTTAGAAAATGAGGCTATACTACATAATACATTTTCTCTCCCTTTACATACAAGTTCATATAATGCATGTGTTCTTACCTGCTCCTTTTAGTAGTATTATTAACCTGTAGTTCAATCTTTTCTCTTCAGTATCGGGAAAGAAATGAAAAAGATACTATGAGGCTCAGGGTTTCTCCATCATGTTTTCTGCTTTTAGGGGACAGGAGGGCAGGAGAAGTCTTTATTATGGGACTAACACCAACCTTGGGCATGGGTTGTGCACTGCAGAATGCAGTGGCTGAGGAGGAGCTGTCCTCTCTGGGAAACTGGATCCATCTGGGATCTTTGGATTATCTGGAGGTATGTTGGGTAGGTTCTGCACATGTCTCAGGCAGGTGTGAGAAATGTATGCAATTCAGGTGAGCTGCTTGGGGGAACAAGACCACCACTTGTGTATACCTGCATACAGCAAAGCAGGACTTAGCCCCTGCTGTACAATAAACACAACACTTGCATTCTAGAACAGATCAATGTATTAGTTTCTCATGTACATTTATTATTATTTTATTTGTATTTTATGTTCCCTTTCCATGCAAAGATATAGCCGTTTTTTGTTTGCTTTCTCTTATTTTCAGAAACTCTGATAATATGGTGAAGGTCATGTTATTAAAAGTAGAATGTAATACTTATGCACATTGGAGGACAAAAATGGGGAGGTTCAGTGGGGCCTTATAAAGAAGGCCTTACAAAACATTCAGCCTTGAAAGGTCTGCTCAGTCTCCCTGGAGAAGTGTCAGCAAGCTCTGCCAATGGGTCGCTCCCTGGATAGAGGAGCCAAAAGCTTTCCCCACTGTCCTTCACTAGGAAGATTAGCTGACTGCTTCCTCCAGTGTGTCTTGCCCAAGCAGAGCATCCAGCCCTTTGGGATAAGAGAGCTCAGTGGAGCCAGTTGGCTTGAACAGATTTTATTTTCTGTGCTCCCTCTTGGGATTGATGTGAAAAAAACATTCTCTGCCTAAGAACCTTTGTGCGGAAGTCCTCCACGAACTAAACATTTCAGAACAGAAAGACCTCCACATGGAAGTTTTCTATCCACTGATGTTTTTATGCCCATAACCATTTTGAACCAAAATGGAAAAAAAAAAAAAATCAAAAAGGTTAATAAAACCAACAATGATTTTCTCTAAGGGGTGTTAGCAGTTCAAAAAATTGCCATTAAGTGTAAACAGTTCCTGAGATTGTACATGCTAGACCAAATTCATCCTTGCTATAACTCCTCAGAACTCAATGGAGTTACATGAGGGATTAATTTGGTCCATTGCTCTCAGCCATCAGTTTTAGAGGATATACAGCAATCCAGGGAACTATTATTGTCAACATTATTTTATGGCTCTTTAGAGCTGCTCAGTATTTGTATTTTACAGATACACAAGCAGGGTGGGTGTATGGAGTGAAGTTAGTGTTTCAGTATTGAAGGTAGTGGATTTTTCAAAGTTATTTTTGTACAATTAAGAGTAATAAGCATTCTAACAGCCATTATTGCTATGAATCTTAGATAGATGCCCGAATACAGCTACACAGACTCTTGAAATGTGCACACGCATTTCATCTGGCAGAGCACAAAACATTTCACAAAGCGTAGAAAATATTGGGGAAGTTTTAAGTACTGTTAGCACACCAACTGACTAATTATCACAGTGTTCATGTGAAACTTAGCTGTACTTACTGCACACAGGAAGTTAAGGCAGAGAGGTAAAACTTTTCCAAAAGCTAACTTTTGAGGCAGTCATGGGGCCAGGAACAAAACACAAGATCTTTACTGTCACTTTCTACTTTTCTGTTTTCTCCAAACCGAAATTGTTTCTGTAATTTTCAAAATAAACTAAGGAAAGCTTCAGTTAGTAAATCTGTTAGATGGTGAATCTGCATCTGCACGTAAATCATATATTTTAGTTCACGTCAGAAGGTGTATAGAGCTACTTGAATCTTTAGGCCACATGTAGGATGGCTGAATTAAGTTATTTAAGTTTAAACTCTGACTGGAACAGTTGTGCTAACAACCAGTTCTATTGAAGGTCTGTACACTGGAAAATGAGTGGTCAAAACAACATTACTTACTTGTCAGTCATAAGACAGCGAGCCTCTTTCCTGGTTTGGTAAATCAGGTTTGCACTGATTTCTTGATTACAAAGCAAGATACAAACTTGTCCGATCACCAGAGTGGGTACCTTCCCTGCACAGTGCTATGTGTTCTTCCATAGCGATAGGATTAGTGTATTGGCTTGTTTGTATTTATTCTCTTCCGTTATGGAGGCATGTTTGGGCAGGGAAGGAAGGGGTTTGTCTTTGTAACCTATTAAAGTTTGGGTCACCCAGAGGCATGAATGAAGTTGCTTTGAACTGTACCAGGTACAGAACCTGTACAGTCCAGAACTAGTGGCAGGACTGCTTTTATACTTCTCTGGTTCTCTCCGTTCATATGTTCTCAGAGCATGTATTACAAGAACATTGATTTTTGCAGCATTAGGAGACTTCGGCTGAGTAAGAACTTGTCCGTATTTCCTGACAACTGTGGGCATCTCCAAACTATGGGATTTTGGATTATTTTGCCATTTGCATGTCCAAGTTCTTTCTCAACCTCTCTGGACTTCACACTAAGGCAGTGCTTTTGAGGGTTCGTCATCTTACACCTGTGTTCTGCTGCCATGGTTTCTGCTAAAGAAAGGCCAAGAACACAGGCCAGAAGCACCCCACAGTCTGGTCCAGCTGGTCTCTGACCTGAACAATGGAGGGAGCCATGTGCTGTGACTGCACCTTCAGTCCTAGTTTATCAGTCTGGCAGCTCCTGTGTGGATATATAGCCAGACCCAGCTCTTCTCAAGTAGCTAAACTTGAAGTGTCTCCAGAGCAAGGGTGACATAGCTGAGAGCAATAATCATTTCCCTCAGCTAAAATGATTCATTAGTGTTAAAATGTCAGGACCATTAAAATGCAAGTGAGCCTTTTAAAATTTGAGGACAATGGGCCTTATCCTGGAAAAGATTTGGGGAAATTGCATTGATTCCAGTACCATTATCCATGAAAAATCTGCTCGTACAAGTAAAGGTTTGTTGGCTGGGCCTCCCACTTTTGTTAGCTATATTTTATTGCTGTAATTACACCTAGTGGCTTATCTAATAGAGTCATGTTCTTATAAAGAAATTAAGACAATTAATGCTACTTTTAGCGAGAGTGAAATAGTAAGTAAAATTGAATTGAAATTTGACCAAGCTCTTCTTTTTTATTTCCTAGTATCTGAATTACAGGAAGAAGGAATAAATGCCATTAACTTACCTCTCAGTCCAATTCCATTCGAACTAGACCCTGAGGACACTATGCTAGGTAATTCACAACAATTTTACATCTCAACATAAAAGCTTGATGTAAAATAAAGTGTCATGCCTGTAATAGTTTCTAATATCTTTCTTTTAAACCTTCCAGAGGAAAATGAAGTCCGAACAATGGTTGATCCAAATTCAAGAAATGACCCAAAATTACAAGAACTAATGAAGGTAATGAAAAGCATGTAAACACTTTCAGGACAGTGAAACTATTTTTTAATGCTGTCCCTGCCTCTTTCATTTGAACACTTCAAAGCACTGTTTAGATATTAATTAAATGAAACCACATGATGTTTACATCCCAGTGAAATGGGCGGGTCATTTGTTGCAGTATCTTTCTCTAGATATGGCACAGTGAGACTTAAGAATTTGGATTAAAATCGTGAGTCCAGATTCTTAGTCCCATCCCACCCATAATCTAAGATCACACTGACTTCCCTTGTAGTCTTTGTGATTCTTGGGGTTAGAACTTCAGCAGAAAGCTTCATTAGAATTGACTTCAACACCTTTTGCTTCACCATAAAATGTTAAAATACTACTGAAAGCAAAGGACAGATTTCACTCCAGAAGGCACTGCATCAGTCCAGTATTTGTCTAGACATTGTGGTGCATTGACACAGCCACCTCAGAAGAGTCCTTCCTAAGTCCTTCCTGTTTTCTTCTGACGGCATTTGTATTTGTATCTGACTGATTTGTATTTTGAGCCATTGCAGCTTTGGTATTCTTTCTGCTAAATATTTTCATCATTGTACAAAATGACATGTGTTTTAAATTGCAAGTGAATAGTGTATAATACTGCCAAATTTGTGTTTCCCATATAGGTATTAATTGACTGGATTAATGATGTGTTGGTAGGAGAGAGGATTATTGTGAAAGACTTGGCTGAAGACCTGTATGATGGACAAGTATTGCAGAAATTATTTGGTAAGAAAAGAATATATGTGCATGCTGTTGGGCCACTTTGTCAGTAAGTGGATCACTTGTTCCTACTTAGGAGCCTTGGTATCATCTTACATTTATGCCACTAAGTGATATAAAAATAGCATTGTATTATGAGACCCTTGAGCAGTAGGCTGTATGCACAATCCTTATAACTACAGTGCAATGTGTGGTGCTCTGTAGTTGATGAGAACAGCATAAAGCCTACCTGGGGTGCTAGAGAGGGAGGGTTCTTGTCTTGGCAACAGTATTCACTCCAGTTAAATTTATTATCTGCATATGTGCTGTACAAACTTAACCGTGTTAAAAGTGGAAAGTAAGTTTGAAGGCAAGGGTATTTTCAGTACAACGGTGGATGTTTTTAATCTCTGCTGGTTCCATAGTATAGTTTATTCACATTGCGAAGTTCCTCTGGAAAGTTGGAATTTCTTTCTGATTTGATGTCTGGCTTTTAACATTACTGAGGTAATGGTACCCAGTGGACTGCAAACTGAGCTTCAGCTGAGAAACAGATAGAGAAAAGAAACTGCTAATGCAGAGCTGGCATGTGCTTTTTTAACTGTTGGCTTGGAAGCCATTTTCTTAGTTATTACAGCTCATAAAGTCTCCAGTAAATTTCTTTTCAGTATCTTAAATGAATCTCGAAACATCATGTGAGCACTTCTAATAAAGACTACACAGACTATTCCCTTCTATGACTGGTTAAGCTATTGAATATATTGTGATGGACTGGATATGCCCCAGACTGAGCAATTTGATTCTCATGGGCTGACCTCCAGTGACTTCACCCAAAACCCAAAAATTGCATATCGAATACAGCCTGACTCTAAATATGCGTATGCTGATCCAGCACTTAGTGATTTCAGTGGAATCAGGTCTATGCTACCTAAAGGCTTTGGTCTTGTTGTGAGATTATGGACAGATTGATTTCTGTGGAGGCACAAGAAACCCATGGAGATAGCAGTCTCTTAGCCAGGATTCATAGGCTGGTAGCTCAAGCTTACTTTCTTTGGGAAGATATTCAGTTGGCTTTGATGAGAACAAGATCAGCTCTTACCAAGCTTAATTAGATATTCTTTCATAGAAGTAAATTGATAGCCGACCAAGCATTTTGTTTCTGGTGTTATCAGGGAGCTTTTATTGCTAAATTTTCTTGCTTCCTATTTAATGGTAAACGCTAAGCCATGTATGTATATACATAGCAATCTGTACTAATTATTTACAAACCAATTCATAAAGTATTTCAAAATCTACTGCAAATTTTGAGTGCAGAAAAGGGCTGTGGTTTCATAGAAAGAAATTGCCTAAGGTTTTAGTTGTTTTCATACCTCCAGAAATACTTGGTCGCATTTCTTGGGTGCATCCTCCTTCTCTATGAATATGGTGTCACTTCACTTTTATTACAAATGGGCCAAGTAAAATTTTTAAATCTCCTGAGTCTGAGGGAAAAGCCGGGAGGCTGACACTGATGAAATAAATCTTCTTAAAGTTGGTATTTGTTTCCTAGGTTTGGTGGTCTGCTGTACAAGCCACTTGCATACAGAATACCCTTTATCCAGCAGCAATAGAAGTAATAGGCCTTACCTCAGAGTTCGGTGTTCCCTAAAGGGAGTTGAAGCAAATATTTGTTAGCCAGTAGTGTGGCTTTCATTAATGCTTGGCCTTCCCCTTGACAATGGGTAAATAAAGGGAAAATGTGAACTATATCTTTAGGAGTTCAGAAGTGTGGGGGAAAGTGGCTCTGGAAGGAAAAGCAGATAATTTAAAAACTAGGAAGTCTAATATCTTTTGAATGTATGTCTGGATGCATGGTATGTCTTTATGTTCTTCATGGAGTTGATGGTGGTTTTTCTTCTGTTTTTTCTTCTATTATCACTTCAGAGAAACTTGAAAGTGAGAAGCTGAATGTTGCTGAAGTTACGCAGTCTGAGATTGCTCAGAAACAGAAGTTACAGACAGTACTTGAAAAGATCAATGAAACCCTTAAGCTCCCTCCAAGAAGCATTAAGTGGAACGTTGATTGTAAGTTGTGTGTTTTCTATGCTGTTCTCATTTGTTGACAGCCAAGAGTTTATAGCTGCTATCTGGAATTCTGAAATACCCAGTGATAACGGAAGGCTGAAGCCTGGTATTTATGGTATGAGCTGCTCTGCAGGGCACATCCAGATGTGGTACACTCTACCCTCTTTACTGGTGCTCAACCTCCAATTTAAATAAACTGTCTTTTCAGAGTCTGTCAAAGTATGGTATTTCTGCTCTTAAGTCCATATGCATACCAGCTTAGGTTTTCTGTTACTAAATTGGTTTGCTGAAACGGGCAAGTAACTGCATAAATGTAGAAGATAGGCGGAAGGAGGCTTAGGTCCAAGGGCTCTTTGTTTGTGTAAAATTTGCAGCATAGATGCGAATAATATTTCTTATCATTTAAGGCTAAATCTGAACCACTGATTTTGATTACAAAACTCTCATCAAGATTCGGACTGCACCCTTCCTGTTTTACTGTATTAAAAATTAACATAGTAATATCTAATAGAAATGCTCTCAGTGGCCCAACACAAGACTTTTTAGTGCATATGTGTTGCAGAAAGCAGGTTATCAGCAGTTTTAGCAAATTAGGCCTCTTAATCTGTTTTAAGTTTGGTATCCAGATTCATTTCACACTGGTGACCAGTATATAGCAGCTTCCCTGTCTCCTATACCTGTCTTGAGCTGAGCTGTTTTGTGTCCCATTCCATTCACAACAAATTAGTGAGAGGGAAAGAAATAGCTCGAGAAAGGAAGAGTGAACATTAGGCTTCTCTGACTTTCCCCTTCGTGTGGTCCCACTGAGTGTTATGTCCCCATCTCTCTTCAGCCTCCCCCCAGGTTTTTTCCATTCTCTGTTATGCAGCTGGAGGCAGGGTGTTTGGAGTGGCCTGACAATTTAAATTCTAGTTTTAATTTAATGTTTTAGATGTGTTTTAGAGCTAAAGTAGAGATAGACAGCAGCAGCTGGAGCCGGCTGTAGCACACACCAGTGCTAGGCAGATAGACATCTTTAGTGTTCTGCTAAAGCACCTCATCCGTGACCACTGGCACCCTAGCCAAATTTGAAAGCAATGCCAAATTTTATATGAATGAGCATCTCCACGGCAGAGTTGAGACTTGCATTGGAACATAATGAAGAAGGATATTTCAGTGACTCTGGTCCTGCTTTACCAGTGAAGTAAGGTAGTAGTTATTGGTTAGTTCAAGTACAAAGAACGTAAGTACACTGTACTGTAGCTATCAAAGATCATTTAGGAATACTACTCTGGGGAAGGTTATAAATGCAAAAACAAAACAGAAGAAGAAGAAAGGCAATAATAAGAATTAGAAATTATTCACTTTCATGCCAATGGTTTGATACTTGATTAAGGATTTTCTACAGTATGGCTTTTGATATCTTGTACGTTGTGCTGGTGTTAACTACCCATATGAAACCTGCTGTGAAAAAGCTTCAATAACAAGAACTGTAACAACTTCATGAGGAATGTTTGAGTCATTGAGTTTAGTAAGTTATTGCTTAAGGCTTCTGCCAAAATAGGCTCATTTATCATCCTGCAGACATTGTGACACTTAAAAATGAATAAGTGCATGTTATGAGTACAAAAATATCTTTCTGATAGTCCATAAATCCTTATTGAAATAAAAGGAATAAAGGAAAGGCAAGGAGAATGCAGAGACAGCACTTAAACTGCTGTACTTAAAATCTGGCTTTTGGATTAGCTTTAGATTTCCATATACACAAGCCTATGGCATCCAGACATGTTGCAAAAAGTAACGCTTTGGTGCTGACGCATATTACTGACTGGGCTGCATTCACATGAGCTGTTGAGCAGGAGGAGACCAGTAAAGGAGAGGTGCCGTAAAAGTGCCCCCTGGCTCCAGGTGGCAAGAGGAAAAGAGTCCCATAATCCCTACATCCTAAAAAGTAAAAATATGTGCCCTAGTTACTTTGCAGTTTCTAACTTGTGCTTTTAATATCTATTTCAGCTGTTCATGCTAAAAGTCTTGTAGCAATACTTCATCTTCTGGTTGCATTATCACAGTATTTTCGAGCACCAATCAGACTCCCAGATCATGTGTCCATTCAGGTTGTTGTTGTGCAGGTAAGAGAGGTGTTAAACAGCTCTTGGTAGTGTTGTGAAATTGACTGAAGGGTTTCTTGAAAAATACGTCTAGAGATTCTGTTTGGGCGGGCATGTGTGTGTCTCTCCGGCTGACAAGAAACACACATGTGTCTTCCCTGCTGACAGTGCTTCAACCAGAAAAAGGCAGAAGTGCTTTCCCAGATTGAGCTGTGGCTCAGAATATCTTGTTTTGGTTGTGAAGTGGCCAAACTCTGACATTAAAAATATATGAAGCATTATTATTGTTGGAATGTGTTTGTTTATCACCCAATATGATCTCTAGAATTATTATTTTTCCCATTTTTGACGGTCTTCTCACTTGTGTAGAGATTCAAATCATTCCTGGCACTGAATGATGAATTGTCACTGTTTATTACATTCAGATTCATGTTAGGTGACTAAATATTCTTTTTCAGCCTTGTGCATGCTAATTTAGTCTGATTACAGTGTTGGCTTTCTCATAAGCATGCAAAAAAACCCCATCAACTAAATCTTTTGTGTCAGTCAGTCTCCTTATTAGAGCTTCATCCATCCAAACTCTTCATGTTACTCTGTTCATCATTTTTCTTTCAGTTGGACTTGTGTTTGCTCTATCTTATTTGGCCTCTTCCCATTTAATCTGCTTTTCTTTCTCTCCAATTAACTTTGCCTTTATTTTTCACACTGTAACTGTCTTTATTTATGTGTTTTAACTGATGTTACCCTGAAGTATCTGGTGCAAAGAGCTATTGCTCAAGTTTTGTGTGACTGAAAATCTGTGGGACAGATCTGAGAAAGTAACCACCCCTTTTTCCAGCATTCAAATCAGACAAGTTTTGTAATTTGGGGAGAAATCTGAAGGAGAGTCTCTGGTAGATGTATCGCTGACGCCTGATAATGACTCACTGACTCTCAGATTCTGCTTCGTGGGTTTCTCTACAGATGATGAAAGAGAACCCCAGCAAATCTGCACTTGTGTGTCTAAGACTTCAGAGGAACATAATTTTCAAGCACTTTCCTTTGACTATTATAAATATATTAATTACACTGGTTTATCTCAAAGTTCTGCCAAAACCAGCTTAAGAAATCAGGAGTGCAGCGGTCAGGGCATCTTTGGGATGAGAAACTAAACCAGAAAAAGAACACAGTCCTAAAATAAAGAACCAGATCTTGCATTCTGCTGTCGCTCCATATGTCCAGACAAAATTCCCATTGAAATCAATGGATGTAATTGTCCTCTTGTTTAATAGGCTAATGTAGTTCAACAGCAAATCCACTGAAGTCAGTAGAGATAAACCAATTTAAAAACAGTAAGTAGTGGGAGAATCTGGCTCACTGCTTTGCCTGTTAGCTACACAGCTGTAGCTCAGGCGCCAGTGAATTGCAGAGAAAGCAGTTGCACCACAATAAAATCCAAGTAATGTTGCAGAAGATTTCGCCCTGCAGACCCAGTTCTTGGTGAAAGCCAATCAGTGGAACTCCAAGGCTATGCTGATTCCTATTAACATAGGGTGGGGGCCAGTATTCTTGCTGTAATTGTGTTTGAGACATTTTTCATTTTTATTTTATGGTGGGTGGGTTTTTTATATTTTTTAAATCTGTCTTTCAGTGTCCTGTGGAATTGGTTCTGTGTAATTCATCATGTACCCTTTGAACTCAATGAAAGTTTTAATCAATAATCAGCAGATCCTGAAGCCTAATTTAGTGTTCAAACTTGCACGCCTCATGTTCTAAACCCTCATACATTCTGTAAAGTAAGATCATGCCTAGGGAAACTCAACAGACTATGTGGTAGCTGGGTTTAAATTCTACTCTATGCAGTTTGATAAAGGGCATAGTAGAGAGAGAGAAATAAAAGAAGTAGTACTTTTATGAAGTCTTTAAGGAAGACTACCCTAATTCATTTCATGATTTTGTTAGGTTTAGAAACACATAAAATGTGAGGGTTGTCGTGTTGGCTGGGTGTAGTTTATTGAAGTAGAAACGAAGATTTTCTGAAACAAAAAATGTGCTCATGCCCAACAGGTAATCAGCACAGTTCTTATGAAAGCTTGTTTCCTTTGGCTGTTTTGTACAAAAGTTGTTAGCGATGAGCGTAATATGAAATCTGGGTTATAAGCTGATCTGGGAAAAAATGTGATAATTGGACCTTTTGTAGCTATTTTGTTATATTATTTTCTTTTCCTTCCATACTAATAGAATGAATAACTTTGAACAAAGGCCAGGCTTTGTTTGATCATTTCTACTGAAACAAGTGAGAGCTTTTGTGGAGAGCTGGATCTTGCCATCATTTTTCCTCTTTTTAAAAATTATTTATTTATGCCATCCACAAATGGTTAAATGACAGATTGTTTGTGTGCAAGAGCTGTAAGTCAGAGAGTGTAAGAATGCATTGGCAGAGCAGCCAGAATGGCTTAGCGTATTCTGAGCACTGGGACAGCAATTCTTGGGTGCATAAACTACTGTTAAGCAAAGCTAGGAAATTAATGAGATTAGAAGGTGGTGTACATCACAAGCTTAATCTGAGATCATTGGTCCCACTGCCTCTCTGAAAGCCCTGGGAAGGTCTGAAATGTTTCTGAGCAGCATTGCCTCCAGGTTCCCAAGAAGTCTTTTTTTGAACCTATGACAAATGTGTTTGTCCTTTCAAGCTCTAGAATAGTTCTGCATTTCATCTTGGTGGGGCAATTATAAAACACGATCCTCCAGATGAAATGGATAGCAACAATACATAGGCAAAACCCACTCAAATAGTGGGAAGGTTTTCGGAATGGGACTTTGTGTGGGAAATAAAGCAGTTGGTCCTCAGTTATATAAACCTGCTGGCATATAGCTAATGTGAAGAGACATGAAAAAGAGAGACCCTTTCCATTTCCAGACATATTACCCAAATTTCAGATGTATTTTTTTGTTCTGGGGGTAGTTGCCAATTTAAAATTATAAGTGATTAGGAAGATCTTTCATAGCCTTTAGTGGAGTCTTTCAGCTGTGAGGGAAGAAAATGCCAAGCCTGTCCAAATAAAATCTTCTGTGGTCACTGGAATGTGCGTCCAGCTTTTCTTTTTAATGGGGCAATCTTAATTCATGCCTTATTTCTCAGTGACTTTCAAATAATAGATGTTCATTTTTATCATTTTTTATTTCAGTTATAGCCACTGTTGTCTTTAAAGAATATTGCTGGACAGTCTTTCAGTCCTCAGTAGCACTTGTCTGTATTTTTAGGAATATTGTGTCATTCTCTGTCTAGTATAAAACAAACTTCACAACAGGTGACATCGGTGTTAGGGTCAATTTTGAGGTGGAGAGTTTTTAAAGTGCAAAAGATGTATGGGAAGCAGCCTTCACAAAGAAGGTGCTTAGACTAGTGTTTCTAAGGCCCATTCTGTTTGTTGCCGTTGGGGCTTTTTCACCAGTCTTTTTACAAATCAAAAGCATAGGAAAGTCTCTCTTGACATGTGCTGGTCAAGTAAGTGTCCACCAAATGCATGTCATATTTGGGCAGTGTGGAAATTCCATTAATGTTAGTGATCAGATACCAGGTACAAAACTAGGGCTTGATGTCTTTTTTTTTTTTTTTCTGTCAACAATGGGATTAAGGTGCAGAATTCCTATTGATACTAATTGCAGATTATAAAAAAGGGCAATATGTTTTATATCGGTACTGGAGTATCGTTTAGGCTATTTTTGCATGTTTGCAGAGGGAAGGTAGAGTATTAGAAGCCTTTTTCTTCTCCCATATCACCGGACTGGGCACTGAGAAGTACGGTTGCCGTTGCTATGATGCTCAGCTCCTCTAGGAGACAAGAGTGATAGGGCTTTTGCTCCAGAAGGCATCATTGCCATGTCAGAGTCATCATCAGGAGGAAATAAAAGTTTCCTTTCACCCTGCAGCAAAGGGAAAAATAAATAAAAATTCCAAACAGAGTGGAATTCTAACTTGAGTTAGCATGAACTAGATTGTAACTTCAAGTGCAAGTACTTATTGCTGTCTGCACAAGCTGGAAATGAAGATAGCCCTAAATGATGTAGTTATTCTTCAGACTTTCAAGATATGTGACAGAAGATGTCTCAGCAGCTGTTCTGTGCCCCCTCTTTCGGTATGTAACACACTAGACTCCACTCTGTCTTTTTAATGTTCAGAGGTCCTCCCTGAATGCATTTTTAACCATGTGCAAGGTATTTAGTAACAAGGCTTTAAAAAACATAACGGAAAACCCCTGAAACTATCATCTAGCTAAAAGGGCAGTTCAGATTACTCCAAGTGCCAGTCTGGAGTGACCCAGAGGGTACCATGTATGGCTTTCTTGCAGAAAGTAAGTTTGATCCTCATATATTTTAGTAATGCAGTATAGAAGTAATAGGCTCAAGCCTGGCCAAATCCTCAGCACATCATACACCGAGGACTGCCTCAGGTGGGGATGTGCTATCTTCTCGAAAGCAGAGAATAGCAGAAGCCCCAGTTCCCATGCCCTGAAGGACTTTTCCAAAAGGTTATTCTCCTTTTCTCTTTTCCATGTAAAAGGCAAGTGTAGGACCAGCATAAATTTATTTTTCTCATTTCCTTGTATGACAGGGAGTGAAGAATCATGGATAATTGCCTAATGTCTAGACTTTACATGCAGTCGTCAGCATTTGCCTGACTTTTCTTTCTGTATTGCAAAATTTTACTAATTCCGGTGAACAGAATTAACAGAGAGAACACAAAAAGAAGCAAAACATATGTGCGGTATTGACACCATCACCAGATGACTGTGATCAGCATCCTGGAAACAATATCAAATTTTTAAACTCCTTTGTTTTCCAACTGACTCGAATAGCAACCATTTGAGTTGGCTTCTGCCATTTTGTGTACAGCTTCTAGACACAGGCCACTCACCACCATGTACAAAGGGCTTCTCCCATCTGAAGAACATTGGAGTCAATGCATATATTAACACCAAGATGACTAGGGTCTGGAGCAGGCTGTGAATGGATTATCCTCCATTTTGGTTTTCCATCACAAGCAAATAGAGCTCTTTGTGTGGAGAGAAGTCAGAAAAGGAAAACACTGAGGCAAGAAAGAAATTGTATGAACAGGGCAGAAAGAACAGATAGCCTGGGAGCAAGATTTTTGCAAAAGAGAAGCATGGGCACCATCTGCCAAGCTGTTCATTGAAATACAAGGTTTAATTCAACTCACCTAGACATACCTTTACTAAAATACTTACATATGTGTTTAGGTGTTTCAAATGTCTTGCTGAATTGGGGCCTTTAAAAGAAAAGTGAATTAAGAACAATGGAGAAAGGAAAAGAAATACTTCCGTCTACAGGTGGAGTTTCAAGTTTCTTGTTAATGTACAAAAGAGTTTTCTGAAATACTTGGAAGGTGAAATAATATATTACTATAAGTTTGTTTAAAAAAGGTTCTTATTTTGCAGGTTTCTTATCTAATTATGTTTGTGGATCACAAATAAATTTTTACTGTACCCTAAGCATTAAACTTTACTGAGAAAAATGTCACTTTTTTATTTTTTCCAGAAACGAGAAGGAATCCTCCAGTCTCGACAAATCCAAGAGGAAATAACTGGTAACACTGAGTATGTCAACACCACTTTTGCCAGCAGTTCAGTAATTGAACACAGATGCGTCTCAGAAATTCAAACATTTGCTGATATTTAGATTTTGGTATTGGGGTTCCAAGAAAGATGATGCATCAGCCGGTGACTGTATTTTAGCCTTTTCAGGAGCTGCAAACATGCATCTAAAAATACAAAAGGGTGAGGAATTAGAGCTGGGGAACTAAAAGCAGGAGACCAGGATAAAAGAAAAGACAGAGTGAAGATACACAAAGTCTCTATTTTATGTTTATCTACTATTAATTTATTTCTGTATTTATTATATTTTTTATTATTTTATTTAAAAGTCCTT